AGGTTGGAAGGATTTTGATTCACAAGTAAGCACATATCTAAAGAATGAACTTGTAATATATTTGAAAAGAGGTCAGATATACTTTTGAAAACTAGAGGAGTCTGGGTTTTTTTTTTTTTTTTTTTTTTTTGAGAGCTAAGGTAGTAGTAATCAGCATTCATTCACTTAGTCAACAATTATGGGTAGATCCTATGCTTGGTTTACACTTGGGAATATTATAGTGAGCACTACCTATGTGAACCAGCCACTTTTCCTGGTAATCACAGCCCATGTATAACCATACCTCACTTGATTGAGCTTTGCAGATATTCTGTTTATTAAAAATTGAAGGTTTGTAGCCACCCTGCGTTGCGCAAGTCTTGCAGCACTATTTCTCCAACGGCATTTGTTCACTTTGTGTCTCTGTCTGTGCCACATTTTGGTATTTCTCACAGTGTTTCAAACTTTTCAGTTATTATACTTGTTATGGTGATCTGTCATCAGTGATTTTTGATGTTACTATTGTAATTGTTTTGGGCTGCTATGAGCCGTGCCCATATAAGATAACAAACTTAATTGGTAAATGTGTTCTGATTGCTATACCAACTAGATATTCTTCCTCTCCTCCGGCCTCCCTATTCCCTGAGACACTACAATATTGAAATTAGGCAAATTAATAACCTTACAGTGTCTCTAAGTGTTAAAGTGAAAAGAGGAGTTGATTGATATGGCAGATTTATTAAGACATTGCCACAGCCACCGCAGCCTTCAGCAGCCACCTGATCCATCAGCAGCCATTAACATTGAGACAAGACCCTCCACCAGCAATAAGATTGACTCGCTGAAGGCTCAGATGATGGTTAGCATTCTTAGTAATAAAGTATTTTAAAATTAGAGTATGTACATTGGTTTTTTTAGACATAATGCTATTGCACACTTAATAGACTACAATATAGTGTAAACATAACTTTAATGTGCCCTGGGAAACCAAAAAATTTTGTATGATTCATGGCCATAACTCTTGTATTATGGTGGTCTGGAACCAAACCCACAATGTCTCTGAGGGATGCCTTCATTATCATATTTAATCCCAAGGACTGTCATATAAATTTTATCCCTATATAGTAAATGAGGAAATTAACACTTAGATAATAAGTACTTTACCAGTTCCATAGTTAGTAGGTGGAAGCTGAACTATAGAGCCCTTTCTCTTAGTTTTCTTTATGTTATACTTGCCATAAAAACAAAACTAGGTTAATCCATCACATCAATAGACTAAAAATGAAAAATCATGTAATTATATCACTAGATGGAGAAAAAGCATTTGACAGAATACAACACCCATTCATGATTAAAAACTTACTAAACTAGAAATAGAAGGGAATTTCCTCAATTTGATAAAGAACATCTACAAAAAAACTACAACTGGAATCATACTTAATGTTGAGAAACTCAGTGCTTTGTCACTAAGGTCAGGTACCAAGGCAAGGATGTCCCCTCTCTCCACTAATTTTCAGCATCCTCCTGGAAGTCCTTGCTAATGCACTAAGGCAAGAAAAGGAAATAGTGGGTATGCAGATTGAGAAGGAAAACATAAAACATTCACAGATGACATGAGAGACTGTAGAAAATCCGAAACAAGTGACAGAAAATCTGGAACTAAGAAGCAAGGTTTCAGGATACAAGGCTAATATACAAAGGTCTGTTGCTTTCATATGTACCAGCAATGGACAGTTCAGTTTGAAATTAAAAATAATACTACTTACATTAGACCAAAAATATTGAAAGACTTCGGTATAAATCTAACAAAATAGTTACAAAATCCACATGAAAAAACAGCTCTGATGAATGAAACCAAAGAATCAAATAAAAGGATAGATAGTTCATGTTCATGGATAGGAAGACTGAATATTGTTAAGATGTGGGTGCTTCCCAGATTGATCTATAGATTCAATATAATCCCAGTCAAAATTTCAGCAAGTTATGGATATCAGCAAAGTGATTTTAAAGTTTATATGGATAGGCAAAAGACCCAGAATAGTCACCACAGTATTGAAGAACAAACTTGGAGGACTGGCACTACCCAACTTACTGTGACTTACTATGAAGCTATAGTAATCAAGATAGTGTGGTTTTGGTGAAAGAATAGACAGGTCAGCGGAACAGAATAGAGAGCTCAGAATAGAGCTCCCTTTAAATATAGTCAGCTTAACTTTGACAAAGCAAAGGCAATACAATGAAACAGAGATAGTCTCTTCAGTAAATGGTGTTGGAACAACTGGACATCCACATGCAAAAGAATGAATTGAGACACAGACAAAAATGAACTCAGAATGGGTCATAAATTATAAATGTCTAATCACTATGCTGTACACCTATAAATAAACAAGTAAATAATGGATCACAGACCTAAATGTAGTTGTAAAACTGTAAAACTCTTAGAAGATAATATAGAAGAAAGTCTAGATGACTGTGGGTATGATAATGCCTTTCTAGGTACAACACCAAAGTTCATGAAAGAAATAATTAAGAAGTTGGATTTCATTAAAATCAAAAAGTTATTTGTGACAGACAGTATCAAGCGAATTGGAAGACAAGTCAGGCTGGGAGATAAACAAAATATATAGAGAATTCTTCCACAGACATTATCCAAAATATATAAAGAACGCTTAAAACTCAATAAGTAAACTGTATTTAAAAATGGGCCAAAGGCCTTAACAGGAACCTCGCCAAAGAAGATATACAGATGGCAAATAAACATAGTAAAGATGCGTCACATCATATGTTATCAAGGAAATGCAAATTAAACTGCGTGATACCACTACCCACTTACCAGAGTAGCCAAAACCTGGAACAGTGGTAACCATAAATACTGGAGAGTATGTTGAACAGCAGGAACTCTCTCATACATTATTGTTGGAAATGCAAAATTGTATAGCACCTTTGGAAAACAGTTTCAGTTCTTAGAAAACTAAACAAACTGTTATACGGTTCGTCAGTTACGCTCCTTGCTATTTATCTGAGTTGAAAACTTATGTACACACAGAACCTGCACACGGATATTTATAGCAGCTTTATTCATAATTGGCAAAAACTTGGAAGGAATCAAAATGTCCTTTAGTAGGTAAATGGAAAAATACTGTGGTACATCCGGGCAATGGAATATTTTTCAGCCTTAAAACAAAATGAGCAATTAAGCCACAAAGGCATGGTGAACCTTAAATGCATATTACTAAGTAAAAGAAGCCAATCCGAGCCAATATTTTATGATTTGGAATCATACAATAAACAGCATTCTGGAAAAGGCAAAACTACTGAGACAATAAAAAGATTAATGGTTGTCAGGGGTTTGGGTGTGGGGAATGTATAGGCAGAGCACAGAGGATTTTTAGGGCAGGCAAAAATTCTGTGTATTGTGTATTATAATGGTGGACAAATGTCATTGTATATTTGTATTATTGAATGTACATGAAGAGTGAACCCTTAGGTAGACTGTGAGCTTTGGGTGATTATGAAGTGTCAGTGAAGGTTTATCTTCATAATAAATATACCAACTGTAGTGGTGGGTGTTGATTGTGGGGGAGGCTATGGCATGTGTGGGGGTATGTGGTTTATGGGAAATCTCTGTTCCTTTCAATTTCATTGTAAACCTAAAACTGTTGTTAAAAAAAAACAAAAGAAACTAGGAAACACTTGTTGATAGTGGACCAACAGTGTATATATATTTCGTTGGTTCTTAAACTTTAGCATGTATCAGAAGCACCTGAGGCTAAATTAAAATCTGGATCCTACCCTTGGTTTTTTATTTAGTAGATCTGGGTTAGATCTGAACATGGATTGCTAACAGGGTCTAATGCTGGTCTAGGGACCATACGTAGAGAAATTCAGAGTATCTAATTCTGTTCATCATGTCCTTATAAAACAATGCCATGCTGAATCTTCCATGATGAGAAATTAGACATGATGCATATGTGATATTAATGTAGCTTGGTACTATGTTTTAATTTTTTTATGTGTGTATTGCTCTGAGCATTTGAGAAATAGGAAGCTTATAAAAAGGGAAATGATTTATGAATATTTGTTTACCAATTTGATATTTGATATTATGAGTTTAAACACAAGTTAGCGTAAAGTTTGTGGTTAATGTGGATTGTTTTGGACTTTCCAAAATGCTTTGATAAATTATTTCCTCTATACATTTTTTCATTTTGCTGGTTGCATTCAACTTCTTTGTACTTTTGGTTGTATAAATCAGCTCTTATCGATTTAGCTATTTTAAATATTAGTACTTATGTGTGTAAAAACAAGCCTACTTAAAATAGGCAAAACAGTTAGATTTAACTTTTATGTTAACTACTCACTTATTTTTGTATATATAAACATTTTTAAAATAGCTGAAACAACACTGGCTTGTTTGAACAGCTGTGCAATTCTGAGAACATGAATTTATAACATTTTTTCTAAAGGATTTAAAGACATAATTCAGTCTCTATATTGGCAGAAAAGAATTCTCATTACATAGATTTTACCTTTGCTTTCAGCAATCTAGCCACTGAACTATCTACCTAATTTTAATGATGATGATGAGGATGAGTTGTCCAACTCACCAGTACAAAGTTCTCATTTTCCGAAGACTTGAGTTATCTGGATGAATAAAGGGTTGGAGGAGTCACAGAATGTTTGTGAGAAAGTCCAGCTTGCTGTGGCATTAGGGGGTTTATAAAAATTGATGTAGTTCTCCAAAACTTTTGATTATGGAACCTAGTCATTTTTCCTGTTTATTGTCTTTTGTACTTGGGTGAAAGGAAGGAAGGAACTGTTGGCTTTGTGGAAAAGGAAGCGAGATCGGTACTAATGTTTTTAATTTAGGGATTAAAAATTTTTAATTATTCCTCATAGTATTATGCCTGACATTTTTGTTTTTCAGTGATTATTTGAAAAGTTATAGTTAAGTGACAGATTTTCAGATTAATACTTTTAAATTAAAGATGCGTTATGTTAATTTGTTTTTGTTTTTATAGAGAGGATCTGACGAACTACTCTCGGGTAGTGTTCTCAGTAGTCCAAACTCTAATATGAGCAGCATGGTGGTTACAGGTATGTGTTAACCCTCTTAACAGTTTCATTATTTGCTATTTTATGGGGCAGAATATTAAAACTAAAATTTATTCTGTTTTGCCAGAATAGCTTTTATTTTTAAATGCTTTCTGTTGAAACATTTTAGAGAAAAACCTTACTAGACTATTTATTTGTCAAGTGAAAAAAATCTGTAGATGGTGACTTCTATGGGCAACTAACTAGATCTGATTGCTTTTTTTTTTAAATCACAAAAATATAACCTTTTCATGTTACAAGTCCCCTCACTCTCACCTTTTTTGTATTTCTGATTTTAGTTTTCATGTTTGCATGTCATAAAACATTTTTAATTCTCTGTTTCACAAACCTGAAAGCCCAAACTGCAAATTAAAACCAAAGATTCAACTTCGTAGACTACATAGTTGTCTTTATTGTATGCTTTCAACCCTTTTTCTTTGCTGTAATAATATATTAATTCTTTGAATTGATTTCGTTTACTTGCCTTATAACCCTATATTTTACATTTTTAACCTACAAACCAAAGTTTGTTTTTTTTTCCTAAAATCTTGCCTAAATTACTTGCTCGAGGAATTAAATGTGTTGGGCAGCAAAAGGATTGTAACAGACTGGAAGCGTATTGATTTCCTTCAGGTAGCTATTGCTTTTGTCTGTAGGCAGACTCGTGTTACTGCACATTGTGTTATTGCACTTCACAGATGTTGCCTTTTTTAATAATTGAAGGCAAGACCCTCCACCAGGAAAAAGATTATGACTCACCTTATTGCGATACTTGTTTTATTGTGATACTCGCTTTATTGTGGTGGTCTGGACCGAACCCACATTATCTCTGAGGTATGCCTGTATGTATACCTCCATGCACACATACACAGTTCTGACAGTTAAGTAAAAATTAAAATGAAGTATGTACCTAATATAGTGATGTAAAGCTGAATTTGTCCACCCAAATAACTTTTTTTGTCCACATAGAGTAACTTCATATGTACATCTTCATCATGATAGACATAAAGTAATTATGAAGACATAAAGTAATTTATTGAAAGATTATACAGTATCTGATTATAGTAGAATTTAATAGTAATTAAAAACAGTAAAAAATCTAGGAAATTGCCAAATATTTAGAAATTGGAACTACCCAATTCTGAACAACACGTGACTCAAAGAAGATGTAAAGGCATATTTCTGACTGAATGAAAATGAAACTATATATCAAAATTTGTTGGATGCAGCTCAGGAAGTGCATAAGGAGAAGATAGGTCTATACCTATATTAGATAATTTTCTGCCTATATTAGGAAATACCTATATCAGAAAATGAAAGGTCTAAAATCCTAGCAAGAAGAGAAAGAAAACAAATTACCTTTACTGGGAATGAAAGTGGAGATATCTCTATAGATATTACATAGCGTAATAAGAAATTAAGGCAATATTATAAACAGCAGTAATGCCAAAAAGTTCAACAAATTAGATGATATAGACAAATTCTTTTATAAATCTAATCGACCAAAACTGACAGTCTATTATTCCATAATAGATATGGATTAGCTCTATATCTTTTATAAAAATTGAATTTTCAATAAAAAATATTTTCATGAAGATTATTCCAGGCATAGGTGGTTTCACTGTTGAATTTTATGAAACTTCAAATTAAGAAATAATTGCCATCTTCAGTATACTTTTTGAGAAAATAGAAGTGGTGATACTCCCTAATTCACTTTATGAAGCTACTGTAACTGACAATACCTAACATAAGAAATTAAGATTTCAGACTAATATTTTTTATTAACATAAATGCAAACATCTTTAACAAATGTTAACAAATCACATCCAGGAGTATCTAAAATATAATTTATGGTGATTAATGAAGGCTTACCCCAGGATTGTAATGGTTAACCTTTGAAAATGAACTCAAAGTTATTTATCATGATGGTAGAATACAGGGAGGAGAACAAACCCATTATGTCAATAGACACAGAAGAAGCATTTGAGAAAAATACAGATGAAAATCAGAAAACTAGCAAGAGAAGGGAAATTGCACAAGGTAGATAAGGAGCACCTACTGAGAGCCTAACAAATTCCATTTTTGATGGCGGAACACTGAATCATTTTTTATTAGAAATGAAGTAAAGATGTCTGTTTTCATAATTTTTCTAGCATTTTGCTTATATTAAAGCAAGTAAAAAATAAGCATAAAGATTGGAAAGGAAGACGTAAAACTGTCCTATTCACAGTCAGCATGATTGTTACAATTAAAATTTTCAATTACAGTTGACAGTATTACATTAGTTTAAGTTTGTGCAATGTAGTGGCTAGACGTTTACGTGAAACTTACACAGTGGTTCCTCTGGTAAATCTTGCACCCACCTGACACCATATGTAGTAATTACACTATTATTGACTATATTTCTTAAGCTATACTTTTTATCCATGTGCCAGTTTGTACTTCTTAATCCCTACACCTTTTTTACCCGGTCCCATCAGTTCATTCTCTATATCTGTTGAGTTTGTTTCTCTTTTGTTTGTTCATTTATTTTGCCTTTAGATTTAGCATAATACCCTCTAGGTCCATTCATGTTGTCAGAAATGGCAAGATTTCATTCTTTTTTTGATGGCCGAGTAATATTCCATCATATATATGTACCACATCTTCTTTATCCATTTGTCTTTTGATTGGAGCATTCTAATCCATTGACATTTAAAGTAATTATTGATAGGTATGTAGTTATTGCCATTTCATTGTTTTCTGATTGTTTTTATAGTTCTGTTATTCTCTTGCTGTGTTCTCATGTATGTTGATGGTTTTCTGTAGTATTGTGTTTAGGTTCCTTTCTCTATTTCTTGTATCTCTTTTGTAGCGTTTTGGTTTGTGATTACCATGTGCTTCATATATACAAAGCAGTCTATTTTAAATTGTCACCTAAGTTTGAACATATTCTAAAATCACCATTTTTACTCACTGCCTCCATGCATATGTTTTTGTCATTAATTTTTACTTTGTGTGTGTGTGTATCTTAATTTGCTGTTGTAATTACACATGATCTTCCTACTTTTGCCTTTTAAACTTTGTACTAGTTCTAGTGTTGGTTGGTCTGCTGCTTTTATTATTTGTTTGCCTTTGTTTGAGAATTTTTTTCTTCGTGATATTTTTTTATTTATCTTCTTAAAGAAGTCCTTTTAACATTTCTGTAATACTGGTTTGGTGGTGATGAACTCCATCAGCTTTGACTTGGCTAGGAACAGTCAACATGAATTTTAAAATGAAATACTGAAAGGAATCTACAAAACGTAGTACTAATAAATGAACAAATTAAGAATAGTTGCAGGATACAAGTTTAGTATACAAAAGTAAAATCTTTCCTGATATTTTGAGCAAATTATTGGAAAATGAAAAATTTTCAAATACACTACAAAAAGATAAGAAAGACAGAATATCCAGAAATAAATTTAACAAGAAATATGCAAGATATCCACACCAACAACCATAAGACATGGCAAAGAGAAAGACCTAATTTAATTAGGTCTAATTAAAGACAATGATAAAGCAAGCAGAGTCTGGGAGAATATATTAATATTTACATGTCAGTACACATATCTGACAAAGGATTATATCCAGAGTAGGTGAAACTGCTTCCACATCAGTAAATATGAACAGCCTAATTTTTAAAAATGGACAAGAGAAGGTATATGAATGGCTAATAAGCAAATGAACAGCTGGAAAGACACCAGGGACATACGGGGAAGAGCTGAATTCTCTGACTACAGGGTGAGGGCTGGAGGGTCAGTCTTCTCCCAGACAAAAGTGTTGGAAGAAACCATTGTTCCTTCACTGAGCCGCTCCCTTTACCCAGTCTGCATGTGCAGGCGGGTGCCATAGCTGAATCTTCAGCAACCTAGCTGGCACTATTCACCCCCTCCTTGGTGATTCCCTGAGACCCCACCCAACTTTCTGGCCTACCTAAGCTATTTCCAGTGCCTTTTCCTTACAAATGTCCTGTTTTGGCTCATGCTGTAGACTTTCCTAAAATCTCTCAAAGGTTCACAAAATCCAGACAAGCAACACCCGGCCTTGGCATGCCCTCAGTTCAAGGCTTGGCTTATTCCAGGTACCTTGAAGCCCAGCACGGGTAGCATCTATCTGCAGATCACTTTGTGGCTCATGCCTGGTGGCCCTGGGCAGGGCATAGGTGGCGGCTGAACTTGGTGTGTGGCAGGGCCCCTACCTGGAGACCCCAGAACCAGCTTCACACTGGTGGCCAGCTTCAGACCATACCAGAGCACCACCCAACCACCTCCACAAATGACATACCCAAAGGGCAGACTGGGGAGGCACCGGAGCCCTACTCTGTAGGGTCAGACCCTGCACGACAGCTCCTCCATTGTAGTCAATACAAGCTCTCACAATAAATCAGCCTGAGGGTCAGTCCGTCCCACTGATGTGCCAGCAGCAGTCAAGGCTCAACTACAACAGGAGGGCACAAACAGCCCACACAAGGGACACACCTGGAACACTCAGCTCAGGTGACCAGAGAGTGCTCTACATGGCCCCAAAGAACACCTACTGCATAAGGCCACTCTGCTAAGACAGGGAGACAAAGCAGCTCTACGTGATACATAGAAACAAACACAGGGAGGCAGCCAAAATGAGACAAACATGTCCCAAATGAAACGTGTCCCAAAGCTTCAGAAAAAGAACTAAACACAATGGTTATAAGGATGTTTCATGACCTCAGTGAGAACTTCAACAAAGAGATAGGAAATAAACAGAAAAAATAAAGAACCAGTCAGAAATGAAGAATACAGTAACTGAAATACTTTGGGGGAATCAATATTATATTAGAGGAAGCAGAGGATCAAATCAATTTGGGAGAGTAGCAGAAAACACTCAATCAGAATAGCAACAAGAAAAAAGAATCCAAAACAAATGAAGATAGTTTAAGAGGCCTCTGGCACAACATCAAGTGTACCGGCATTCGCAATATAGGGGTACCAGGAGAAGAGAGATCA